GCGGCCGCCGGGTTCTCCGCCTGTCTTCAAGGCGCGTTACGTGGCTCGAGGCTTCAGTCAGCGGCAGGGAGTTGACTACTTTCAGACCTTCTCTCCCACCCCGAAGATGACCACTCTTCGGGTACTGCTGCACGTAGCTGCTCACCGTGACTACGAGCTACACTCTCTTGACTTCAACACTGCTTTCTTGCAGGGCAGCCTGCACGAGGAGATCTGGCTGCGTCGCCCACCTGGTTTCACTGGGTCTTTTCCTCCTGGCACCCAGTGGAGCCTACGGCGGCCAGTCTACGGTCTCCGCCAGGCACCGCGTGAGTGGCACGACACACTGAGGACTACACTTGCGGCTCTTGGGTTTGCTCCCTCTACTGCCGACCCGTCGCTGTTTCTGCGCACCGACACTTCTTTGCCGCCGTTCTACATCCTCGTGTACGTCGACGACTTGGTCTTTGCCACAGCTGACACTTCTGGACTCGCCCACGTGAAGTCCGAGCTGCAGAAGAGACACACGTGCACAGACCTGGGTGAACTGCGCAGCTACCTTGGCTTGCAGATCACTCGGGACAGAGCACGCCGCACCATTACCCTGACTCAGTCACACATGGTGCAGCAGGTCCTTCAGCGCTTCGGCTTCACGTACTCCTCGCCTCAGGCCACTCCTCTGCCTACTCGCCACTCGCTCTCAGCTCTGCCTTCGGATGAGTCCGTAGAGTCGAGTGGCCCGTACCCAGAGCTTGTTGGCTGCCTCATGTACCTGATGACCTGCACACGACCTGACCTTGCATACCCTCTTAGCATTCTCGCACGCTATGTTGCTCCTGGGAGACACAGACCTGAGCACATGGCTGCAGCGAAGAGGGTGTTGCGCTACTTGTGCAGTACGTCGGGCATGGGGCTTGTGCTTGGAGGGCAGAGTCCAGTGGTCCTTACTGGGCACGCAGACGCTTCTTGGGCTGACGACCAGGCTACGCAGCGGTCGTCACAGGGTTACACCTTCAGCCTTGGTTCCGGCTCTGTTTCGTGGCGGGCTACTCGCTCGTCTTCTGTTCTCGGCTCCAGTTGTGAGGCTGAGATCTACGCAGGAGCCATGGCTGCACAGGAGCTTCGCTGGCTCACCTACCTGCTGACTGACCTCGGAGAGCCGCCTCGTTCTCCTCCAGTGCTGTACGTAGACAACAAGGCCATGCTGGCCTTGTGTCGGGAGCAGCGACTGGAGCACAGAACGAAGCACATTGCTCTCCGCTACTTTCTTGCTCGTGAGCTGCAGCAGCGTGGTCAGCTGCGTCTTGCGTACGTGGCCTCTGAGGCCAACACTGCTGATATCTTCACCAAGGCGCTTGCGCCTTGTGACCATCAGCGCTTCTGTACTCAGCTGGGCCTTGTGCCTACCTTGCCTCACTTGCTCACCTCTTGACCGTGCTTGTACTGTTACATATATATATACCTGCTCTTGCTTGTCTAGCCTTTTTTATATATATATGTACTCCTGCATGTGAACTGGCCTTGTGGCCTTGAACTTGTGCTCGGAATGTGTGGTGACTTTGTGATCCACCCTGAGCTTGCTTTGCTTTGCTTTACTTGACTGGTCTTGTGACCCCTTGTTCTCCCCCACTTTGCCTATGGGGGTGTGTCAGAACATTATAGCTCATGCATATTGTGTAGGCTATAGTGGGGTAGCCCATAAGGGGTACAACCCAATTAGGGTCATTACTTGTACCCAATTCATTCATAGTTCATTCATTCCTTGTTTCTTCTCAATTCTTTCTCCCCGAGGTCGAGTTCCTAGGACACGTCGTATCCGCTAGTGGCATTAGGACCGACCCGAAGAAGATCGCAGCAGTACAGGATTGGGTAGCACCGACCTCAGTCAAGGAGTTGCAGAGCTTTCTTGGATTCGCCAATTACTATCGTCGTTTCGTTCAGGGTTACGCATCGATCGCTAGTTCACTCACCGACCTACTTCGGAAGGGCGTAGATTTCGATTGGGGTCCAGCGCAGCAGCAGGCGTTCGAGCAGATGAAGCAGTCGCTCACATCTTCACCGACACTGTCGTACCCAGATCCCAGTCGCCCATACGTTGTAGTGACCGATGCATCAGATCAGGCCATAGGAGCAGTGCTTCTTCAGGACCAGGGACGCGGGTTGCAGCCGATAGCATACGAGTCGCGTAAGCTTAGGGGAGCGGAGCTGAACTACCCGATTCACGACAAGGAGGCGCTCGCGATTATCCATGCGTATAAGGTGTGGAGGTGCTATCTAGAGGGGGCAGATAGTGTTATACGCACGGACCATTGCTCGCTTCGTTTCCTCAAGTCGCAGCCGCAGCTGAGTCGTCGCCAGGCTAGGTGGATGGAGTTCATGGAGGGGAGCTTTCACTACAGGATAGAGTACAAGCCAGGCGTTCGCAATCCAGCAGATCCGCTCACTCGCCCTAGTTGCCAGCTCGCTAGCCTCACAGTCACTGCCGGCCATCCACTTCTCACAACACTCTTCGAGCACGGTTACACAGTAGATCCCGACTTCACACCGCAGCCGCCCGCAGGAGCAGAGGTGCAGGGTAGTGTCTACATACGGAAGGGTACCACACGGATTTGGGTTCCAGCCTACCGCCCTCTTCGACAGCTCCTTCTCTCAGAGGCGCACGACATAGTTAGTGCAGGTCACTTCGGAGCAGATAAGACGGCTAAGACGCTTAGTCGCACGTACTACTGGCCAGGGCTTGCAGCAGACGTAGAGGATTACATTCGTTCGTGCGACACGTGTCAGCGTACGAAGTCCTCTCGCCAGCGCAAGGCAGGACTTTTGCAGCCGATTCCACCGCCCGACCGCCCTTGGCAGGTAGTTACCATGGACTTCATCATGGCTTTACCGCGCACAGTTAGGGGTCACGACGCCATCTTCGTGGTAGTGGATAAGTTTTCTCGAGCAGCGCACTTCATCCCCACGCACGGCAAGGTCACAGCAGAGGAAGCCGCGACTCTGTTCGTAGATAACGTAGTCCGACTGCACGGGGTTCCAGATTCCATCATCTCAGACCGCGACCCTCGTTTCACTTCGAAGTTATGGAAGCAGCTTTTCGCATTGTTTGGGACTCGCTTAGCCATGTCGTCTGCGTACCATCCAGAGACAGACGGACAGACCGAGCGTGTGAACTAGACCTTGGAGCAGATTCTTCGCAGCATCACGATGCACGACACAGCCGCATGGGACAAGAAGCTGAGCATGGCAGAGTTCGCCTACAACAACACGCACCACTCTGCCACAGGCATGTCACCGTTCTTCGCACTGTACGGTCAGCACCCCAATGTCCCCACTCGTGTCGATCTCACACCCACTGTCCCTCGTGCGGACAATTTCCACCAGCATCTCACCTTCATTCATGATCACGTGAGGAAGCACCTTGAGCTCGCAAATGCACGCATGGCACGCACCACCAACCGCAGTCGTCGTGAGGTGTCGTTTTCAGTTGGCGACCGTGTCCTTCTCGACAGCCACAACCTCCGACTGCCACAGGACAGCAAACTTCGCCCTCGCTTCATTGGTCCATTCGTCATTGAGCGTGCACTAGGACCAGTCGCATACCGCCTCCGCCTTCCCGCTCATTTCCGCATGCACCCATCATTCCACGTGTCTCTCCTTCGTCCTTACACCGATCCCAACGCCACCTTCTCGGGCCGTGATCGCACTCCACTGCCGGTAGCTGTTGACACCGACGAGCCCGACTACCAGATCCAGCGCATCCTCAGGCACCGTCGCCGTCTCCAGGGAGGTGTCTCTTTCATCGACTTCTTGGTTCGTTGGCGTGGTTACGACGCAGCAGACGACAGCTGGGTTCCTTCGTCCTCGCTGTCTCCCGACAACGCTTGCCTCCAAGCGTACCTTCAGTCTGCAGGCGCCGCGGACGTCGCCTCCTTGGGAGGGGGGTAGTGTTAAGGGGGGATTTACTGTTCCCATTGAACAGTACTTTCCCAACTCATCCAACTCATCCTTATCCTTATCTCCTTGGATTTCCTAGTGCCACGTGGCACTCTACTTTTCTTGCCTTCAATTCCTAGTCCCACAAAGTACTTTCCGACATTCGATCTTGCATGCTAAATCAACCTTGCTTGTACTTGCCATAAGCAATCAATTCTCATTCAACTCTTCTTCAATTACTAAGTAACTTCTTCGCCTATTTCGCCAATAGTTATTTCGCCAAAGTCTTCCGCCGCGTTTCATCCTCGACTTAGTCGACCCCGCTAATTCTTTAGCGGACTTAGGCCGTCGGGCCTAACAAAAACTACCCTCAGCAGGTACACCACCTTGTTTACAAGGCACTGACAATACCTAAGAATCTCGATGTAAGAACATTGTGATGTTCGTGTACGCAGAAGTCGTACCCTCCAGGATTCTAGTGTTGATGCTGCAAACGTGCCTGATTAACATCCGTCAGAAAGATGGCCGGCCGGATATGATTGGAGACGGCATGTTCCCGTGGGAGTCGGGGATCAGGTTGTCAGATCAGAGGGACCAGTCAGGGAATCTGGTCTGGACTCTGGAGCATCTCCCATCTTCGCCAGACAGTTTCGCGAAGCAGATATTTTGGTTGATTGCGTCCAGTTTCTCCTTTTCGCAAAAGGTCAGGTTTCGCTGGCGTTCATCGCCTAGCAAAGTTGGGGAAAGTGTTGCTTCCCCGTCATCACCCCGAGCGAAGTTCTCGAAGCTCCCCCCTCCCTCCACCCAACCCAAACCAATCCAATCTCGGCTTTCCCAGACATCCAGCGCACTCCGCCCAGTGGCGCAACCATTCCGCGCGTCCTTCCGCACGCGACTGGCTTGTCAGCGCAGATGCAGCCCATTGGTGTTCCCGTCTCCTGAAAATGATCCCAAGGTCCGCCAGAGCCAAATTTCTTGACTTCTCTCTTCTTCAGTCATTCATTTGAAGTAATCCCATCTCCTTTGTCCTCGGAGTAATTTCTTAGCTCCGAGTTGTTTCTAGGCTACTTTTCCTCCATTTTAAAGCCATGGCTGCTGTCTCAGTCTCATCGTCGGCTGTCAAGGCTGCAGCTGGTTTTTCCGCGGCTGAGCTTCGGACCTCGTTCTTGAAGCCAGTTGTGTCGTTTGTTCAAGCCAAGAAGCCTGCTCGTTCCTTCTCAGCCGCAGCGGGACGTTGCGAGGCGTCCTCGATTAGGAAGCAGGATGTTTCGGCGAAAGCTCAAGCTGTGGAAGCTGAGACTGCAACGGCGACGAACATCGCTGCAGATGTGACCCAGGTCGGTAAAATGTCTTGACAATGTCGTTCGAACTGATCTTCGGTTTCGTCGCATTACAATTGTACTGAATTTAAATAATTTGCAATCTTTGCGGCTGATTGCATCATAATATGTGCGGTTACTCAAGAAGCCGGCAAGCGCAAAGTTGTCTCGAATTCTAACGAGTTTATCATGTGCTACGCGTGCAGCTGATCGGCAGCACCCCCATGGTGTACCTGAACAAGGTCGTCGACGGCTGCGTCGCCAACATCGCAGCGAAGCTCGAAATCATGGAGCCCTGCTGCAGCGTCAAGGACAGGTACGCCGCGTCATGCGCTGTCGTGATTAAAGCTGTCAGCGTTTATGAGAGCTTTATAAATGATGGTGAAGGACATGAGATAAATCCATACCTGTGGAAGTGGAATGCATTTCCGTGAAATTGTAGCTGGATCTACTTTCCGTGATTGTATGCGCAATCATCATGATCCCGATCCGATTTTGAGCTGCAGAGGTTGCATGTCTGGTGCTAATTCACAGTCTCTTTGCCATCAAGCGGTGTTGGAGTAAGCTGTTATAATTCTCTCCATCCAGCCATTGTTTGATTCGTTTTGTTTTCCTGCAGATCTCGTAAGACTGATCCCGTTTCGCGTTTCTCTTTATGTCATCTCCCTGCGTCTGATTTCCGAACTCAATTCGCTTTTCATCACCCTACCCCACCCATTCTTCGCAGAATCGCATACAGCATGATCAACGACGCTGAGGAGCGAGGCCTCATCGAGGCGGGGAAGGTAAGCGGAAATCGAATTCCAGCTCTTTTCTATAAGTTCTCCCTACCTAAAGCTTTTCGTAACAAGATATAGTAGCGTGTCTTAGTTACGCGTTTCATCACTGTATGCTATCTCTGTGACGCGTTCCTCTCGTCATCCCTACACCCGTCAATTCTGTCAGAGCGTGCTGGAGGAGCCGACGTCGGGCAACACGGGCATCAGACTTGTCTCCCTGTGCCTCCTGCCCCCCTCCCTTTCCTCCTCAGAGCGTGCTGGTGGAGCCGACGTCGGGCAGCACGGGCATGGGAGGCGTTGTTTCTCCATGTTCTCCTGTGTCCCCATGTCCCCCCCCATCCCCTCGTCCCCCCCAGAGCGTGCTGGTGGAGCCGACGTCGGGCAACACGGGCATCGGCTTGGCGTTCATAGCAGCGGCGAGGGGCTACAAGCTCGTCCTCACCATGCCCGCCTCCATGAGCCTCGAGCGCCGCGTGCTGTTGCAGGCGTTTGGCGCGGAGCTCGTGCTCACGGACCCCGCCAAGGGCATGAAGGGCGCTGTTGCCAAGGCGGAGGAGATTGTGAAGGGCACCAAAGACGCGTACATGCTGCAACAGTTCGAGAACCCCGCCAACCCCAAGGTAGGATTCACACGACTGCTTACTTTTCAACAGAATGTGGGGTGGTGACTGAAGGGGCTGGGGTTGTTTTTAGACGGTGTGGGCATGGCATTGCTCAGGACGGCTCAGCAGCTTTGAGAGGCGTTTGGCGCGGAGCTCGTTCTGACGGACCCCGCCAAGGGCATGAAGGGCGCGGTGGCTAAGGCGGAGGAGATTGTGAAGGGCACCAAAGACGCGTACATGCTGCAGCAGTTCGAGAACCCCGCCAACCCCAAAGTACGGCGAGATTGTAGCGAGGATTTAGTGTAGAGCTGCACTTGATTGAATGACCCTGCTCTCAGGACGTGAAAGGAGATCGTGGGCACGATATGACGGAGCGTGCATGCTGCAGCTGGGGTTCCAAAGAGCCTGCGAAATTCAGGGTGTGGTAGGTCAAAGTACTATATTTTACAAAGGCGAATTCTCACGCTGGTACACCGCCAATTACGCATCAGCATATCCCCCTTATCGCACACCCCCGTGCCGCACACCATCTTCTCGCACGCCGCCTTTCCCATGACCTCTCCTCTCCCCTGTTCCCATGCCGTTCCCCTCATAACTCGTGACTCGGTTGGTCGCAGGTGCACTTTGAGACGACCGGGCCTGAGATCTGGGAGGACACGCGCGGCACGGTGGACTTCCTCGTCTCTGGCATTGGCACGGGCGGCACTTGAGTCGCCTTTAGGAATACTCAAATCGTCTCCTCCCCTTGTGGCCCGTGGCTCATTTTGTTGCAGGTGCACTTTAAGACAAGTCTGTTATTTGAGAATCCTAAAAAAGGGACTGAGATCTGATAACTATCTTAGGACTCGGAAGCCATCTCTGTCATACCATTCCTCTTTTCCTAATTCTTGGCTCGGTTGGTCGCAGGTGCACTTTGAGACGACCGGGCCTGAGATCTGGGAGGACACGTGTGGCACTGTTGACTTCCTCGTCTCTGGCATTGGCACGGGCGGCACTGTCACGGGCACAGGCCGGTACCTGCGCAGCCAGAACCCCAACGTTAAGGTGAGATGGATGGGTAGTAAGGGGGGGGAATGGGTGGTTATCAGCCTATCAAGGTAGTCTGGCTGGCGCATGAGCATAGACAGCACGGGCATTGGCACGGGCGGCACTGTCACGGGCACAGGCCGGTACATGCGCAGCCAGAACCCCAACGTCAAGGTGAGATGAATTGCTGGTCATTGCAAGGATTGGGCGGCATATGAGGGTAGTCAGGCGTATTTCTAGTACGGGCGGGACGGTACTTTCACGGGCACGGGGGTACCTGTGCAGCCAGAAACCCAACATTAAGGTGAGATGGATAGGCAGTAAGAGGGCTGGGAATGGGTGGATATCAGCCTTTCAAGTGGTCTGGCTGACGCATCAGCACGGGCAGCACGTGCATTGGCACGGGCGGCACTGTCACGGGCACAGGCCGGTACCTGCGCAGCCAGAACCCCAACGTCAAGGTGAGACGGGTGGGTAGTCAAGGCGGGAACTGGCGGCATATGAGGGTAGTCAGGCGTATCAGTACGGGCAGTACTGTCACGGGCATGGGGCTGTACCTGCGCAGTTAGAACCCCAACATCAAGGCGAGATGGATGGATATTCCAGGGGGGGGGACTGGGCGGCATATGAAAGTAGTTTGGCGCATCATCATGGTTGGGGTGGGGCTGTCATGGGCATGGGGGGAACCGTCACGGGCACGGGGCGGTGACTGCGCAGCCAGAACCTAACATCAAGGTGAGATGGACGGGTAGTCAGGGGGGGAACTGGGTGGCAGAATGGACCTACTCATCTCCATTGTCGTGGACTGAGAGGTGGGGGATTCGGCACACAGCACTCTCTCGGACTTGTTTTGTTGCTCAAACTTTCTACGGATTTTTCTTGCACTATAAGGCTTCAAATGATGGCGGAGTCATGCCAAAAGGCGTTTCAGCTGACATGCTGATCTCATGCCTCCTCCCTTGCCTCGCACCCTGCCCCTTCTCTCCTGCAGCTGATCGGAGTGGAGCCCAAGGAGAGCGCTGTTATCTCAGGTGGAAAGCCAGGTGAGGCCCTATTGGGTGTAATTATGATAAAGGGACGACTTTTGAGTTGACACTCAAGTTTTCCCTTCTCTCGTCCGAAGGAGAGCGCCGCTGTCCCGGGCGGAAAGCCAGGTGAGATCCTAATGGCTGTAAGGACCAAGTGATAAGGAGACGATCCCGCCATTCCAAAACTATGCTAGTAGAATCCGTGTTCTCTCAGAGTGAAAGCCAGGTGAGGCCCGACTGGCTGTAGGAATGGTAAAGAGATCAGTTTTGAGTTGACTCAGAAGTCATTTATGTCCCCCTCCTGCTGTGCACGTGCACAAGCCACCACAAAACCCAGTGCATAGGAGCTGCCTTCTCGAATTAGCTACCTGTGGATTAGCTACTGTTTAGGACCTTTCATCCTGTTACTCAGTCAACTCCGTCCCTTCCCTCTCCTACTGCGCACAGGTCCTCACAAGATCCAGGGCATTGGGGCGGGCTTCATTCCGGGGGTTCTGGATGTGAGCCTTTTGGACGAAGTCATTCAGGTAAGGAGGATGCTGGGGCTTTCAGTCAGCTCACTTAAAGTGGAATTAAATTCTGGTCGGGTTCTGAGTTGACCCAAAAATGCTAGCCTCTTGGATAAAGTCACTGAAGTGCAATGAAGTATTGGGGAAAGCGAGATGCAGAAAATGCTTGGATTGAAGAGGCGAGATCACATGTAATATTCAGCAGCGCCCTTCCCAAGAAGCTTCTTGCCTAGATATTTGAATCACTTTGGTACTTCTGCATCCCTCTCAACCCCTCTGTGTGCAGGTCAGCAGCGATGACTCAGTGGAGATGGCCAAGCAGCTTGCTGTGAAGGAAGGGCTGCTGGTACGTGCTGGGTGGTGGTTAAAATGTATAGTCATGCTGGGTGGTGGTTAACATGTATAGTCATGCTGGGTGGTGGTTAAAATGTATAGTCATGCTGGGTGGTGGTTAAAATGTATAGTCATGCTGTGTGGTGGTTAAAATGTATAGTCATGCTGGGTGGTGGTTAAAGCCGTTGACCCAAATTGCACAAGTTTTAAAAAGTTGACGTGAGGGAGTTTTGGTAGTTTGGGCGTTGGCGAGTGTTTCTGATTTCGTCAAATTCGTTTTTTTCGCCAAACCCAGCCAGCCCCTCGTTTTTACCCTTGTAGGTGTGTCAGACCTCGAAAGTTCCAAATTGCAGGTGCGCTTCTTTTCAAAGCTTGCACAGCCCACTTCTTCAAGTTTTAAAAGCTTGACCCGCGCGGCCCGCAATTTGGGACACGGGCTTTAAAATGTATAGTCATGCTGGGTGGTGGTTAAAATGTATAGTCATGCTGGGTGGTGGTTAAAATGTATAGTCATGCTGGGTGGTGGTTAAAATGTATAGTCATGCTGGGTGGTGGTTAAAATGTATAGTCATGCTGGGTGGTGGTTAAAATGTATAGTCATGCTGGGTGGTGGTTAAAATGTATAGTCATGCTGGGTGGTGGTTAAAATGTATAGTCATGCTGGGTGGTGGTTAAACTGTATAGTCATGCTGGGTGGTGGTTAAACTGTATAGTCATGCTGGGTGGTGGTTAAACTGTATAGTCATGCTGGGTGGTGGTTAAACTGTATAGTCATGCTGGGTGGTGGTTAAACTGTATAGTCATGCTGGGTGGTGGTTAAACTGTATAGTCATGCTGGGTGGTGGTTAAACTGTATAGTCATGCTGGGTGGTGGTTAAACTGTATAGTCATGCTGGGTGGTGGTTAAACTGTATAGTCATGCTGGGTGGTGGTTAAACTGTATAGTCATGCTGGGTGGTGGTTAAACTGTATAGTCATGCTGGGTGGTGGTTAAACTGTATAGTCATGCTGGGTGGTGGTTAAACTGTATAGTCATGCTGGGTGGTGCTGCTGGGTGGTGGTGCTGGGTGGTGGTTAAACTGTATAGTCATGCTGGGTGGTGCTGCTGGGTGGTGGTGCTGGGTGGGTGGTGGTGCTGGGTGGTGGTTAATATGTGTAGTCATGCTGGGTGGTGCTGCTGGGTGGTGGTGCTGGGTTGAAGTGTCTCTCTTCTTGTCTGTTAGAGCTTCTGCTGTCTGTTAAGCACTTGGACTACTGCAGTTGAGCTGTCGGCCTTACACCAAGGCTTGTGCGGCCTTTGTATCTATCTGGAAGCATCTGCTGATCGCGAAACGTATTTCTCTTCTGTGATTTTTGACGCGCCTCAAAAATCACACCTACGCAAGTGCAGCCTTTGCATCCATCTGGAAGCATCTGCTGATGGCAAAACGTGTTTCTGTTCTGTGTGTGTGGAATGTCGCTGCTTCTCGTGTTGCAGACGGGCATTTCCTCTGGTGCAGCAGTGGTGGCAGCTATTGAAGTCGCCAAGAGGCCTGAGAATGCCGGCAAGCTTGTTGTGGTGAGTGTTTGCAATGAACGTTCTCAAAACTTGCCCTGATCTTGTTTGACGAACATGCTGTGGTGCCTTTTTAGCCTCGAGAACATTTTGTTTGCTCGCTTTTGAGGCAACATTTGGGTTGAGTGCGGTTTTCTTTCTTGAGGGTTCTGTACTGCTCCTTACTTCCATCCATTCCTTCCCTTTGCAGGTGGTTCTGCCCAGCTTCGGAGAGCGATACCTGTCTTCAGTTCTCTTCTCTGACATTAGAACCAAGGCTGAGGCAATGACCCCCGAGGTGTAATTTGGCCGCAGTATAGATTGGGACTAGCTGAATGGTTGTTGCAGCTGCAACATATAGTGATCCGAATGATCTACAGAACATGTCAGGCTCTACACAAGCCCAACACTGGGCAAGTTAAATACCAGACCCAATATTTTGGACAGCAGGAATGTTGTACGGTAGGTTAGCAATGGAGTTTCCATGGTTACACTGTACATGAAATCTACAGACAGCACAAATAATCATCGCTACGCCTCCCCAAAGCGTATCAGATGATACTGTGTAAGGATTTACAAATCCTTACTGAGGCACTCGTTATCGAGGCCATCCCGAGGGTCACGCGACGAACCTGTCTTGCCTAATTCGTCGCACCGAACCACCCCCGAATCGGCCTCCGCTCCAATCGCAACCATCACCGAGCCATCCTCGCCCAACCTCTCCGCCTAGCTAGGACTTCCCCTATTTAGGTCTCGTCACTTTCCTTGTATCGTCATTCTGTAGTTCAACATTCTCGTTATTCGATATTCTGCGCACTCTGCAAGTTCATTCATAACATACTGTCTGACTGGTACAGTTGTTAATTTACTGCTTACAGACGGGCCACTTCTCCTAGCACCCGGCATTAAGGTGCTGTTCGGGAGGAGGTGAAATGAGGGGGAAACCATCACTAAATAAGCTGGAAAGTAGGTTCAGAAGCCCAAAAATCGCGTGCGACCACCATGCGACCTCCGTCGTGACCAAACCTCACGGTTTGGAAACATCAATCTCAGCAAGCACTCATTAGCGGCTCGAGATACCGACCTGCCGCCCATACCGCCCATTGACTGAACAGTAATCACGGGCAATTTTTCACTGACTTTCCGCTCGCCGTTTTACCACGAGCACAAGATGAGTGATATTTTCCTGGGTAAACTTTATGGAGAGCATAGAGTGGTTTAGAATGGTTTATAATTCTTCCTTTGAGAAGGGAAAGGGAACATGCATGGAATGTTCTGGAGTTGGTGGTTGTGATGGGGTAGCGCGATCTGTGATTTCGATTTCGTTGTGATTTTTGCACGGGTACATTGTCGTTTCTGCTCAACATGCAGCGTTGACTATGCAAACCCTTGTCCGTCTCTCCAGCTGTCAAAACTGTATAGATTTTGGTCAACACTGCACAGTGTTTCATGTGGGTGTTTGTCCTTATTTTTAATTAGGCTCGGTGCCATACCTACTACCAACTTTGGGCTCATCCTCATTTCTGGGGCTCCCGAACAGCACCTAACGAGTCGAAAATGGTGAAATTGTAAATATCCCGACCACAAAAAACACGATTCAGGGCGTGGAACATCTGGGAAACAACTGTTCGGTTCGGCGCCCAGGAGCCCAGGAGCCCTCGGCGCACAACGACAAATGGCTCGGCGAGTCTGGACAAAACCGCCGAAGGTGCTGACATCATCTGACACTGGATCGCGCTCGACAACATTTTCGGAGTGACATTCGATTTTGGTACAACTTTAACGACCTTCGCCGACTCTCGAGAATATTCTCGCTACCTATCGCTTTCCTCGACGACATTTCGCACCACCCCGATTTCATGGCCAGAGGATTTGGGACTGGACTTCCAGCTCTACTAGCGACAAATCGCCCAGCTCGACCCGCCCACGACAAACCGATTCGATTTTCAACTGCTGCCAGCTGCAACTGCTGAAGATATCGCCTGATTTTCGGCGATGTGAAGACAACATTGTTCAGTTCGAGTAACATAGATTTTCCGCCGCGGTTTTTGGTCTACATCTACGGGTTAGCCCTCGGAGCATTTTGGGGCACGTAATACCCGGTTTCGACATCGACTTTCCACACCGACACGTTTTCACCAAGACTTCTACGCTCAACGGTTTTCTGAGTGGGACTTAACACCTGGTTTTGTTGGAGTTTACTTCGGCGCAGCTGCGGGAAACATTTTGGTGTGTTTTCTTGGAGGGGGGGAGAAAGTGCGCTGCACTGTTCTTTCCATGGCGTTTTCTGACTTTGTCAGAATGCAGCAGCACAACAGACGGCTACGATCGCGACCTTGAAATCAACGTTCCTGAGCAGCCACGATTGAATTTCGCGTCAGCAGCTTCCCTCCAAAATCGCGTCAGTTTTCGACCGTCAGATTAACACCTGCTGGATCTACGGCCCACATTCCAACTTCTACTTCATTTTGGGCCAGTTCAGCGTCGACCGTCAGATCGAAATCAGACTTCATCAACGGCCTACATTCCAACCTTTTCAACAATATTCTCAAAGACATTTCGGCCGTCGGATTCAGCTGAAGAGGAAATCTACAGCATCCTTGCTAGTGTGGGGCTTGTTTCAGTACAGGGCTGCCTTATTTAGAAGGTGGGAGAGTGTAAGGATTTTCAATTCCTTACTGAGGCACTCGTTATCGAGGCTGTTACGATATGAAATTACATGAGAAGGCATTCCTGTACGCTACAGGAGCCGACTCTACCGAGTACGAAGACGAGGATTCAGAAGAGGCGAAGCGACGCAGCAACCGTCTGACCAAGACCGATGCAGGCAGAAACATTTGAAGTGAAAAGAGCGGGAACAGGTTTGAAACGGGTTCCCGCGCCGCACGGTTTGAATTCGGCTGTAATAAGGGAATGTACCCCTTAGAGTACATGGCTAGTCTAGGTCTTTTCGTATTCCCCTGTACTCTTATATAAACTCGATGTATGAATGCTTTTATCAACTCAGTCATTTACATTCACTCTGACCTGTGATTCAAACTTCCGCTGCAACACTACTCTGCGATCAACCCTGAGCGATCCTTCGCTAAGTCCCACTTGGGATTGTAACATGGTATGAGAGCTACTCAGGGATTCTTCGCAACTTCACTTCCGTGAAATTCGCCGAACCAAGATCTGACGAGCGGCACACGCTCCAAGACCAAGATGGCCGGAGGATCCGGAGGCCAAGCAAATCCGACGGCTGAAGGACAAACCAACCCGGCTGCGACAAATGAGGCGACAACCACGATCGGCACTGCCGCTCTCGAGCAACTTTTCGCTCGACTTTCAACTATGGAGAACTCCAAGACCTGCGCAAAGGCGATGCGGGAACCTCTTCCCAACCAGCACAACCTGGACAACCGGCTGAGAAAAGCACTGATACCGCTGCGCATACCTTCTCCCTCGACACAGACAAATCAACAACAACTGCCCCCCGTCCAAGTGATGAAGCTATCAACTCTGCGCAAACACGCTTTCTTAGCGTTTCAAAAATCAAAACTACTGCCGCGTTTGACGGCAAGGACTTCTACACATGGAGTCTCGAGCTTGAGCTCCTCCTACAAACGGCGCAGATCTACCATTACTTCGACGGCTCCTACCCTAAACCGGTGGAAAACACCGAAGTCGCCAGGGCTCAGTACTACAGCGAGTCCCTCATGGCCTCGGTGTGCTGCTACGCAACATGACGCTTGCAGAACAACTCAACATTCGCTCCTACAAAGAGAGCGGCGCTCCAGCCTTGGAAGCTTGGAAGCACCTCGTTGAAGTTTACCAACCGAAGGATTCGGTCACCGCCAGCAGGCTCCTGCAGCAACTTTTGGAGATAAATATGGGGCACGGGGAGAAAGCGAATCCGTATATTAACCGCTGTCGCAACATCCGTGACCAGATCACGAAGCATGGGAGTACAATCTCGAAAGAGATTTTTGTCAACATAGTCCTTCAAGGACTCGGGCCAGAGTGGAAGCCCTGTAAAGCACTACTCCGACAGCGAGGGACCATCTCATAAGCCGCGCTATGCGCCGCACTCCTGTCCGAACAACAGGACATAGATTCGAGCAGAACAAGCTCCGTGCCGCGCCGAGAGCGCCTCGCCTTCTACGCAGACAACCGAGAAGAGCGACGACAACCAAGGCGCCATTACTGCAAAATATGCAAAGTCTTCGGACACTCAACGGATCGATGCAAATCCCGATCCAACCTCCGCCACCCAAATTCCACTCACCACAACAACTGGGTCGGCCGACAAGACGCTCGTCACTCTCAGCCTCAGCATCAGACAGTTCGTCCTCCTGCACAGCATCAACACCAGCAAACTCAAGGATCTCAATCAGGAGCTCCCAGGAATATCATCGCGAACATGGCGACGCGCCGACGACGCACTGCTGAACCTGACGAAGAGAACGAAGCTCAAGGAAGACTTCTGGAACCAGAAGAGGGACGGAACAATCCCCTCACTGAAGACCACTATTACCTGTATGACGAGGACGAGCAGGATTGGAATCAGCCAATCACACTGCGGGAAAGCCCGCCACACGACAACCAACACTACGTACCAGTGGGATGGAAGGAGGACGAAGATCCTTCCTTCCACAGGCGCTACAAGGCAACCCTGGTGACTCCGCGACTGGCGCTACTCCTGCGCAGGAACAACACCGACAACTACAACACCTGGTACCTGGACAGCTGATGCGGACAGCACATGGTGGGATCCACGCGATACGTTTCGAACCTGAGTCGCGCCCCCGCAACCTACGTCACCGTCGCCAACAACGAGCAGCTGCGCGCCAATTCACAAGGCATCGTTGTTCTGCAAGCACGAGACAGCAACACTCACATCTCATTCAACGACGTGCTCTACGTCCCGAATCTCCGCTTCAATCTGCTCTCGGCTGGACAACTCCGCGACTGTGGAGTCATAATACACACGGACCTTGCCACACGCGACCTCATCCTCACCTACGCTCCCCCGGATGCACCTCCCGAATCGTTCAAGTATCTCGGACGAGCACGCTCAATCAACGGGATCTATATCCTGGACTTCGACGTACCTTCCTGCCAAGCGTCATCAGACGAGCTCGTGGATCTCGTTCCTCTCGAGTTCGCCTTCATGAACAAGGAATCATGGGAGCATCCGGACGGACGTCCATGGGTTCGCCGCAGCCCTCACCCCCGTGAGATCAACCTACGCGAGCCAGACATCAACGGCCTCTGTACCACCTGTCATACACCCACGGCAAGCCGCACAGACCAAGTGGAACG